GCACTCAGTATTTCTTTCCTTTAGCCTGGAAAATAACTGTGTTCCACTGAAAATCTCAGACCTTGAAAGCACTGAAAGAAATCTTAGCCATTTGGCTAGTTCAGCCCTTCATTGTACACACAGGAAGGCTCAGGTCCAGAGAGTTGAGGGACTTGTTCAAGTTTTTCCGGGGGAAGAAATGTGATGAGACCTTAGGCTGCCTGATTTCACTCCCCCACCACTTTGAAAGCTTCCTGAATGTTGGGCATTTGTGATACAAATTTGTGGTTAAGTCAAGGTTCTTGCTCTCGGGAACTTACCATTTTTTCCCCCATAGAGAGAAAAGGCATGAATTAGCTATAATGAAAGTGCTGTAATAAATATGCTGTAGTAAAATGTGCTATAATGAAAGCGTAGAATTGAAGGGTGAATGGCAGAGAAGGGGGTGCAGTGAGGTCCACCTGGGGGGCAGAGAAGGCTTCACACCTGAACTGATATCTTTGTGGTTGTGAGGGCATTAAAGAGGCATCTCTGGGTTGGAGACAATTCGGTCAGATAGTTGGGGGGTGGTGTGTGTCTGGGTGTCACAGAGGAGTCCATGTAGAGAGGTCAGCAGTAGAAACATCTTGGAAAAGGGTTTCCTCCTTGGTATCCAACAGCCCTGGGTTTGAAACCCAGCTCTGCCCCCTACTAGTTTTGGGCAAAAAATTTGCTTACTCTGACTTCCATGAACTCATCTGTAACATGGAGTGTAAACAAGCGAACAAACAAAAGCTACTTTAAAGATAGTTGTGAGGCTGTCATTAGAGAACTCATACCCAGAATGTCAATCGGTGATGTGGATGAGAAGGAAAGGTCTCAGTTACACGAATATATGTGGTGCGCTTACTCCATTGTTATCTCTCCTGCTTTTCTGTTGGTTTTCAGAGTGTCTTGATTGTGGGGTGTCCGTGTTGGTGCTGTGAGCTCACAGGATGGGTGAGGAGTTCTAGATTTTCCCACAATGCCTAGTGTAGAACTCTGCAGTTAAGAACACCAGGCCCAGACCCGTTCTTTTGTTAAAAGTAGGAAAAACAGTGTTTCGCCAGGAAGGTGGAGTCAGTACCTAACAGACCCAGAACTATTGCATCCTCCAGAGTTCTCAGGATTGCCAGGCTACAGATTGAAAGCCTCAGAATGAATAACTGTGCCTGTTAACTTATTCAGCCCAGCAGATTCTTTTTTTTGAAGAACATTAGTCCTGAGCTAATATCTGTGCCCATCTTCCTCTACTTTATATGTGGGACACCTGCCACAGCATGGCTTGACAAGTGGTGCCATGTCCACACCCAGGACCCGAACCGGTGAACCCCGGGCCACCGAAGTGGAACTTGTGAACTTAACCGCTGCGCCACTGGGCCGGCCCCAAGCCCAGTAGGTTCTTAACTCTGGGTGCTCACAGCTTTCCATGGTGAACAGGATGGTTGTTGCTGTGTTTGTGAATATCAGGTGGTCAGCTTTAGCGTGTCCTTGACTGGGAATGGTCTGGGGTATGGTGAGCTGTTAAGGGTTCTCTGGGCTTGTGAACATTCCGCTGTAGGGAGGTGTAATTAGTGATGTAGATCTTTGCTACTTGAAATATGGTCCCCCGGCCAGCAGCATCACATCACATGACCTTGCCTGGGAGCTTGTTAGAAATGCAGATTCCCGGGCTCTACTCCAGACTTCCCGGAGCAGAATCTGCATTTTAGCAAGATCTGTAGGTGCTTTGTGCGCACACTGAAGTTTGAGAAGCACTGATGTCCCAGCTTGAGTGTGGCTTACTTTCCTTGGAGCTCAGTTTCCCTTTTCTCCATGGAGGAGCCTTCCTGTTTCTGTCTGGTTAGAATTTACCCCCAGTTTATGTCTGACTCCCTTACAGAACTGAAGAAGAGGTTTCTAATTGACTAAGAACTGTAGGGTCAAGAAAGGAAATGGGGGGGCTGGCCCCGTGCCTGAGTGGTTGGGTTCATGTGCTGTGCTTCCGTGGCCTGGTGTTTCGCTGGTTCAGATCCTGGGTGCAGACATGGCACTGCTCATCAAGCCACGCTGAGGCAGCGTCCCACATGCCACAACTAGAAGGACCCACAACTAGAATATACAACTATGTACTGGGGGGGTTTGGGCAAAAGAAGGAAAAATAAAAAAATAAAAGAAAATCTTAAAAAAGAAAAGAAAGGATGGGGCCGGCCCTGTGGCTGAGTGGTCAAGTTCGCACACTCGGCTTTGGCAGCCCAGGGTTTTGCCGGTTCGAATCTTGGGCGCCGACATGGCACTACTCATCAGGCCACGCTGAAGTGGCATCCTACATGCCACAGCTAGAAGCACCTACAACTAAAATATACAATTATGTACCAGGGGGCTTTGGGGAGAAAAAGGAAAAATGAAATCTTTTTTTAAAAAAAAAGAAAGGAAATGGGGAAGGAACAGAATATGAAAAGTTGTTCTTAATTTGAGACTTTAACATTTGCCTTGAAGTGTGTGATGGAGTTCGGACTCTAGAAAGCTTTTGCTTATGGAAGCAGGAGAGCCAACATTTTTCTTACCCAAATCATTAGCCACTAGTTCTTGGCCATCTTGTCCTATTCCTTGGTTCAACTTTTCTGTCCAGTCATTTTCTTTAGGTAAATATTTTAAATGGAGAAGGATAGACATGAGAGAAATGTTTTTCTTTCCTTTAAATGGATATTTTCTGCAAGAATTAGTGATGAAAGACTGTAATTTTTGTGGGTGGGAGTTTACTAGCACAGTTTTCAGTAGTCTTGGGCCTTCTGGTAAAACATAAAGATTTTTTTGGTTTCTTATGTTTTATGAAATAGTATGTCATTTTTTCCCCCTAACAAATTAAAACTGGAAAAGTTTTGAAGCATAAGTAAGGCTGGGGTCATGAATTCTAAATGTAATTCTTAGTGTTCAAAAATATTATTAAAAAAACTAAAGTGTTGGAACATTTTTGAGGAGGGCATTAAAACAAATTCAATCTTGGCTTTTAGTGTCTTTTTTTTACCTGTATCCCTATTACAATAGTGGCATTTTTCTAGCATGGCCTCATCACATGACCTTTGAACTTGTTTACCTTTATTCAGTTAACTGACTCTCCATTAATTTGGAATTTTTGAGATGAGGAAATGAACTCTGGATCAGAGATCAAGAGCCAGACTAAAGGTTTGAGTTCTCTGCTCTGCTCCTGCCTGGCTGTGTGGCGTGGGCATGTCTTGGGCCCTGACATAGTCATTTCTAGATGGAAGGAAGGGGACCAGATCCATGATTTTCATGGGGATCGGGGCTCTATGAGAAGATTGCTTGTGTGTCAGGATCTTGGGTGTGGGGAGTATGTGTTATTTGAGAATGCAGAGTACTGTATTGCTTTATTTGGAAAATGGAAAAGAAATCTTTTTTTTAAAAATTTTTTTTAAAGAAGTGGCACCGTGTAAAGCATCATACTATCTTAGCTGGTTAACACAGGATGGGAAGCACATGGGGCTAGCCGTTAGTTGCAGATAATTTTTAGTGAGGTTGCGTGCCAAGCACTGTTTAAAACTTTTGGTATACTGATGCGCTCACAGTTCCTAGAAGATGGGTACTGTCATCATTTGAACAGACAGAGCAGAAGAGTGAAGTATCTCACTCAAGGTCATCACAGCCAGTATGTGGGTAGATCTAGGATCCAAATCCAGCTGAGCCTGCAAACTTGGCTGCTAGGTTTGCTACCTCTGCATTCATGGTCTGATATTTATCAAGATCAATGTTATCTATATTTTACTTTCTGAAAAAAGGATGTTTTATAATATATGTAAGTGGTATGAAATTGCCCCTCAATCCTCAGGTACAAAAAAAACCAACCACATATTTTCCTCTAAATCCAATTAAATTTGGCTGAGAGTTTCACTTACAGAGACTGGTGAGTTATTCGGTAGCAATAGTCACTGGAGGATTCCTTCACTACTCATGCAATTTGGCTAGAAAATTCTTTTTTTTTTTTTTCTCCCCAAAGCTCCAGTACATAGTTGTATATCCTAGTTATAAGTCATTCTAGTTCTTCTATGTGGGATGCCACCACAGCATGGCTTGATGAGCAGTGTATAGGTCCACGCCCAGGATCTGGGCCGCCGAAGTGGAATGTGTGAACTTAACCACTTGGCCATGGGGCTGGTCCCTGCTAGAAAATTTTGAGGGCCTCAAATCCTCACTCTATCGTGATGGTGCGGAGATGCTCATTGGCCGAGCCTGCACTGCCCATGTGAGAGTGGCAATCACTGTTGCTATTCCCTCCATGCTCAATGTGGCCACCATGATCTCACCAGGGCTCCTGAGGCCAAGACTTTTAGATGTTAGCCCCCAGGCATCCACGTGTCCAATCTTGCCAGTGGTTTTCACCTGCCCTTGCCAGGGAGCCACATACCTACAGAGCCTGGTACAGACACAGGCACAAGATGCCCATGGACACAGAACTTCCTGAGGGAAAGGGGAGTATACCTTACATTCTTCCATTATAATCTTACAGGGAATTAGTTAATTTCTCTATCAAATTATCCTCCTGCCTGTAAATGACAGCATGATTTAACATGACTGACCTTAAGCAATTTTATTAGCATCTAATTTACATTTCTCTTGTTAGTGAAAGCATCTAGGTGACTAAACGCATATAACCCCAATTCTTTATCTATTTGACGCTGGGTCAATGAATGGAATTGTTTAAGCCTCTGTTTCCTCTTTTATAAAATGGGGATAATAGTAGTTTCTATCCCACAGAGGGTCCTGGGGGATCAGCTTTAACAAAGACACTTATTTGGAGAGTGGCAATGAGACCAGCCAAGCTGGAGAGGAGTTCAAGTGGTGGGAGTTGTGGTGGGGTAAAAGCTGGAAGTGTTGTTTAAATGCCATTTTATAGAGTTTGGACTCACAATGGCCTTCTTCCCAGTTGTTTTATTAACTGGAGTTTGTGTTCTGTCTCAGGCATGTACTAGAATCTCTCTGATAAACTCCTTTTCTGGCCTATTTAGGACCCGACTGACTTCGAGTGGAGCTTCTGGATGGAGTGGGGGAAGCAGCGGCTGGTGTGGCTTCTCCTCGGCCATGTGGCTGTGTCTCAGATGGCCCACCTGCTTGCAAGGAAGGTATGATTATGTGCATCATTTCCTTCTAAGCCTCTTTCTCCTTTGCTTTCTGTGAAGTATGAGTGCTGAGCTAGGAATCAGGAGACGTGGATATAAGCCTTGGAAGTCTGGAAAAGATGAGAAATAAATTGTTAATGACCAATAAGACATTTAAAATAAAGGTTTCATGCGTTTCTTATCCTGCACTTACTTCCTCCAAGTTATTTTTCAAACCAATGAATTTGGAAGGTTTTAGAGTAAAAATAACTTCAGGTGATGTTCTTTAAGATCATTCCTAATTAAATAATCTTATAAATAAACCCACTTGTTGAGAATCTATGCAATTTCACTTCAAGTTCAGAAGAAAGTAAAGTGAATGATTTCATTACGAAGAGGGAATAATTTTAATGTCAAGTAATTTATGCTATAGTAGCTGTTGTACGTCAGAATTCCAGTTGTATTTCACTCTTGCCTTGGCCTGGAATAGAGAACAGGAGAGTCTTCAAAGTGGATGTTTGAAAAGTGCTTTTGCATGAAGCAGAATTGAGAACCTCTTCATGTGTTTAGCTACCAAGCCAGGAGGATTTTTCTGTAGTGTCGGGGCCAGGATTTGTCCAGCGGCCTCTGATACATGCTTCTTGCCTTTGTAGATTCCTAATCTGAAAAAAATGTGCTTGGAAATCTACCCAGTAAAAACAAAGCACAACCAAAAACTGACTTGGAAGTCCACCCAGAAAAAACGTTTAATTCTTAGAGGTGAAGAAACTGAAGGGACAGGAGCAGCAGGAGCCTGTGGGCGAGAGGGACAGAACGTGATGCTGAGAGAACAGGGCGCCATGTGGTTAGAGATGTGGACTGCACTGGGGCTGTTTTTCAGCTGTTTCCTGAAAATCAGTACTTTCTGGGCTTGCTTCTCATCCTGGAATAGGGGAAATCCCAACAACACACTCACTTTCTTTGTGTTAAATATGATATTGATTACTTTTTGTTCTCAAGTGGTTTCCATCTTCTAAAGTGGTAAAAACTAAAATGTTAGATGCTGTCAGATCTGAATATATTTAAAAATTTCACATAACTTTTTTTTCAGTTTTATTGAGATGTAATTGACATATGGCACTGCATAAGTTTAAGGTGTACAGCATAATGAGTTGACTATTATATATTGTGTAATGATTACCACAGTAAGTTTAGGTAACATCTGTCATCTCATATAGATGCAAGAAAAAAAAGAGAAAAAAAGAAAAAGTTTGTTTTCCTTGTGATTAGAACTTTTAGGATCTACTTTCTTAGCAGTTTTCAAACACACCATGCAGCAGTGTTAACTATAGTCATCATGTTGTACAATGCATCCCCAGTACTTATTTATCTTATATCTGGGAGTTTGTACCTTTTGACTATCTTCATCCAATTTCATGTAACTTTCTGAGCAGACCTAATAATAAATAATATGTTTTTTGTATTCCTAAATTAGTAATGAATGTATCTACCTCAGCTTTCATTCATGGGTTTCTTTTCTTCCGCTTTGGTATTTTTTAAGACTTTGAAATTTCTAGAAATTTAACATTTTAATTTCTAACACAAAGTTTTTCTGCCCATAGGTAAATGACGTACTACCCTTAGCTGTCAGTTTTCCCATCTGTAACATGAATAGCTTAATACTTGTCTTTTTTACCCCTGTGAGGGGAAGAGGAAATACTTTGAGGAGGATCTGTGAACTGCCTCCAGTCTCATGCTACTGCTATGCCTGGGGGCCCATTGCAGTGTAGCAGGAGAGCGCTAGGTGTTGTACTACTCATGGTCGGTCCTAGGCTTTCTCACTTTCTAAACCTTAGGAAAGCTTTCCCCACTGAATCTTAATCCATCATTTTCCGTAAAGTAGGGGTGATGAACCAGTGTTATTCTTTTTTTCCTCCCTTAAAAAAGGGTGAGCTTCATTTGTTAGAAATTTCGTTAAAAAGTAAGGGTAAAAGGTGGAAAAGGCAGAACAAAAAGAAATGGCAGAAATAAGTGCAAATGTGTCAGTAATCACCATCGATGTAAATGGACCCAGTTTCTACCCATGCTCCTAGAAAAAGATTGTCGGACTAGATAAAAGAAAAATAAACAGATAAAGGAAAATAAACAAAGAAATAAAACAGAGTCCAGATTTGTGCTTCTTAGCAAGATAGACTTAAAACAGAAGGACACAGAAAGTTTGAAAGTGAAAGGATGGGGGCTGGCCCCATGGCCGAGGGGTTAAGTTTGCATGCTTTGCTTCCCTAGCCCAGGGTTTTGCCCATTTGGATCCTGGGTGTGGACGTGGCACTGCTCGTCAGACCATGCTGAGGCGGTGTCCCACATACCACAACTAGAAAGACCTACGACTAGAATATACAACTATGTACTGGGGGGCTTTGGGGAGAAGAAGAAGAAAAAAACAGAGGAAGATTCATAACAGATGTTAGCTCAGGTGCCAATCTTAAAAAAAAAAAAAGAAGAAAGTGAAAGGATGGGAAAAGATGTTCCAGGCAGATATAAGACTCACCTCTCCCCAACCCTCCCAAGTACTGGTGCAGTTTTATTAACAGCTGGCAAAGAGCTTTTTTGTTTTTTGAGGAAGATTAGCCGAGCTAACATCTGCCGCCAATCCTCCTCTTTTTGCTGAGAAAGACTTGGCCCTGAGCTAACATCCATGCCCATCTTCCTCCGCTTTATATGTGGGACGCCTACCACAGCATGGCATGCCAAGTGGTGCCATGTCCACACCCGGGATCCGAACCAGCGAACCCCAGGCCACCAAAGCGTAATGTGCGCACTTAACCACTGCGCCGCTGGGCTGGCCCCGACAAAGAGCATTATTAATGACAAAGAGAGTTATTCTTTAATGATAAAGAGTTCATTTCATTAGGAAGATATTACAATGCTAAATTTGTTTGCTTCAGAATATGTAAAGTAAATAGATAAATCAATGATTGTAGGGAGAGATTTTAGCATAACTTCATCACTAATTGATATATAGAAAAAACCAATAAGGAACAATGTAATTAATAAGCTTAATATAAGAAACATGTAAATTATTGCATCTAACAACTGGATAATTCATATTCTTTTAAAGAACGCATAGAATATTTGTAAAAATTGACCACGTACTGGACCATAAAGTAATTTTCAACAAATTTCAAATTATGTGTTTAAATAGGTTGCCTTCTCTAATCCCGGTGCAATCAGTTGAAAACAAATAGCAACAAGATGACCTGAAAATTCTAATCCATTTAGAAATTAAAAATGAAAGCATACTTTTAAATAACTCATAGGTCAAAAAAGAGATCATGCTGGAAATTAGAAAACAGTTAGAAATGAATGAAAAATATATTACATGTTAAAACTGGCAGGGTGCAGCTAGAGTGTACTTAACTGGAAACCGTAACCCTATATGCTCATATTAAAAGAGAAGAAAGGCTGAAAATTAATGAGCTAAGCATACAGCTTCAGAATTTAGGAAAGAACAGCAGAAAAAAGAAACAAACAAACCAAAAAGAATGGCAAGAACGAAAATAAGAGCAGGAATTAATGAGATAATCAATGGCAGGATTGGTCAAGAAAACAAAGAAAATGGACAAATAACCAATAATAGGTGTGGAAAAATAGATGGAAAAATATAGTAGGAGGATATTTTGCACAACTTTAACAATAATTTTGTAAACTTTGGCAAAGCAGGCAAATTTCTAGAAAATTTGACTTACCAAAACTGACTCATGAAGACATAGAAAGACCAAATAGTATGATAACCATGAAAAGAAATTGAATCAGTAGTTAGAAAATTGATTTGTAAAGAAAACAATAGTCTAATACACCACTTCTGCCAAACATTCAAGGCAAAAACTATTTAAATCTTTCTTAGGCTTTTTCAGGAAAGAGAAAAAGAAGGAACTTTTATTTTATGAAGATAGTATAAAATTGATACCAAAATCAGAGGATATGCCCTACCAGATATTATAACTTATAAAGATTAATAATTAGGACATTGTTCTATTGACACCAGGATAGACAAATAGACTCACAGAACAGAATAGAGTTTAGAAAATACCTGTACATAGATGGGAACTTGATTTATAAAAGATGAACTATTCAGTAAACAGTGCTGACACAATTGTTGAGTCATATTGTAAAGAAGTGAATTGAATACTTACTTCATGCCATACATAATCATTTTCAAGGTGAATTAAGGACTTAAAATGAAAAAGAGGGGTTGGCCCGGTGGTGAAGATGTGGTTAAGTTTGCGCACTCTGCTTTGGCAGCCTGGGGTTCCTGGGTTCGGATCCCGGATGCGGACCTACACACTGCTCATCAAGCCATGCTGTGGCAGTGTCCTGCCTACAAAGTAGAGGAAGATTGGCACAGATGTTAGCTCAGGGACAAGCTTCCTCACCAAAAAAATAAAAAGAAAAGAAAGAAAAACAGAAGTATAAAACTTTCAGAAAGCATGATTTAGGAGAATATCTATTGATGTTAGATTGGAGAAAGGTTTCTTAAACAAGACATAAAATGTACAAATTTTAAAGGAAAAAAATTGATGTTTGACTATATTAAAAATAAGAACTTCCCAATATATAATAATATATAATAATCAATGTACATTTTGGATATATCCAAAGACACAATGAAGAAAGTGAAAAAGCAAGTCACTAATTGAAAAGTTATTTGCAACCTGACAAAGGATTAGTATTTTGAATAGATAAAGAAATTTCCTAAGAAAAAGACAAGTCACCCGGTAGAAAAAACAGCACAAGATGTGAAAAGGAATTTGCAGAAGAGGAAATACAAGTGATCAATAAACTTATGAAAACATGTTCAACTTCATTAGTACTCAAGCAGATGCATCTTGAAACTACAAGATATCATTTGATACTTTCTAATTTGGCAAAGACAAAGAACAAAATCTCCTGATAATATCAAGCATTGGCTACTTGAACTCACACGGAGAGATTGTAAATATGTATTGAAACAGCCTCTTTGCAATACATTACCTAGTAAAGTCAAA